TAATATAGATATATATAGAGAGATATTTATATATATATATATATTAAGTTATAGTGATAGATCATTTAACAGCTACACAAGTTGCATCACTGAAAATGAAGTCAATACTTCATTTCATTAATACTTAGTACTTCAATACTTCATAAAGTACAAAGTCAACACTTCAGAGAAGTCAAATAATTAACTCATTATTCAAATAAGTTGAATTCTTTTATTTAAAAAAACTTTAATTTAAAAAAATAAAGCACATAAAGTGATTAGTAATTACAATATTAGCTTATGTTGTTGTCATAGGTCAGTAAGGCAAGGGGTGCTATTGTTCTTGTTTTCCAGAGGCGCAATCTATAGCCAAGAATTTGACTTCTGCTACACCCTTTCTATAGGGCATTCATACATTCACAGATCATAATTGTGACCTGAACAAGAGAATGAGCAATCTTTAATTTAGTATCCCTAGAGGTATAATTTGTTATGGGAACATGGAAGATTTTGTGACCCGATAGATGTAAGGTGCACCAGTCACCATTTACTACACGGGGAGTCTTCGGTCGGCTGCATTCGAACTCCCGTTCTCAGGGACTTGAGTCCAGCCCCCTGCCAACCATGCTATCCCGGCCCACTACTAGTTTATAAATAAATGGTATTTTATTCCAACTTCAATTAAAGTATTTAAAATTCATAACAATAAGTGAAATATTTAGGAAAAAAATGTGTTTACCAATTCAATCACAAGACTAGAAATTAGAATGTAATAAGCAATTTTTACTCAAAATGATTGCTATATGTAATAAATAAAAATTTTACTATTTTTTTTAATACAAAACACAAAATAACTAACACTTGTGGCTTTCCTTAGTCAGAAATTGAAAAAGAAGTACAAGATAAATTTGAACTTATTGGACACTTGGCGATTGCAGTAGGAATTTGCAATGATAAAGTGCAAACGTGGTGGGAGAACAAAATTACATTAACCTAAACCGCAATTCGATATTCTTTTTTTCCTCGTCGACTAGCCACAATGAATAAAATAAAGTAAATAAATTAATGAATGCTTCTGCAGGTGTTCTTAATTAACATTTTCATTCTTTTTCGAAATAAATTATTCATCTTATCTCCTTTAAAATTAATTAGATAAATGTATATTATTTTTACCTGAATGAAAGAAAACTTTTTTCATGCAACTTGCGTTATTCTGTAAGCTTGTGTTGCTCATTTGGAAATTAATTTGTTAGTTTGCGATGAATAAATTGTTGTAAAAATAACTCATTAATTTCTTTTTGTATAAAAATTTTTTATTTCTTTTGATAACATAATTCTTTTTAAATAACTTATTTCATTCCTTTTATTAAGCTTAAAAGGGGGCTTTCTCACTAAACAAAAGGAGATATTCAATGATTAGATTAGTGATTCTCAACCTTTTTTTTTTGTTGTCATGTCACACTTTTAACAATTTCGAAATTTGACAGCACATAAAGAAAAAAATAAGTATTAAGTTGTTTATTTCTCTATAATACACTGTGTAAAATAGTTTATGATAATAATTCTGAATGTAAAATAAAATGTACTACAAAAACAACAGTTCATTATTAAGGGATTAATTACAAATTAACTGTTCTTTTTATTTTTTTTCTATTTATTAATTGTCAGAGGGTTTTTTATAGTTAGTAATTGTTAGTTTTTTGCTAATTATTAATTTTTAGCTTTTTTTGTCAGTTATCCTTTGTTAATTTGTTTTCTTTTGTTAATTAATAATTTTAATAGTCATTAAATTTCTAACTATTATTAACATTCCAAGATTTTCACACCGCTAAAGTGTGGAAAAATTATAAAAAGTATGTATATAATATCGTTTGGCTGACCACCTGACCAGAACATCTGCTCCTGCACACCAGAGCCCAAGGTCAAGAAAACTGAGATAGGCACAGTAGGCCTTGGCCCTCTATGGGCTGTCGCGCCACTGAGTTTTTTTATGTATATAATATATATATATATACATTTCTTTATTTTAAACTTTACTTGTAACAAATAAAACATTATAATTTTCACTATAGCATTTTTAAAATTTGGGGGCACACAAAAGTTCCGCGGCACTGAGGTTGAGAATTACTAATCTGATTACTAAAAAATTTATAGTTAGAAACATATTTATTCTCAACTCATTGTGAAATAGATTAAAAACTTCTAACTATGTTTTCTACGATTGTCTAACTTTAAACTCAGAATAAATAAAAAAATTTGATTTTTTTTACTTAAATTTTTTTTAAAAAACTAATTTCATTCATTTTATTAATCTTAAAAGGAGGCTTTCTCACAAAAAGAAATTTTCATTGATTAGGGCATTTTTTAATAAAAATTGTTTTAAATATTTTACAAGAGTAAAGAAAAATTAAAAATAGACATAATTTGACAATACATACTTTAGATACATTTGCTCCAGGAAGAAAATAAACATTTCCATTATCTAGAAAAGAAAAATATATTGTATTAAAACTGGGTTAATATTCAATTTCCTGACTTTTCCAGGTTTTCTAGATATATTTTTAAAAATTTCTAGTACAATACGGAAGTATGTACCAACAGATTGTGACATAAGGTAAAAAACTTCGAAAACTTTATGTGCACAAAATCGATCATACATGTTTTGTATTTAACATAATTTTTTTTAAACAAGATTTATAATTAAATTACCTACCAATGAAGAATATCTCATTTTTATAGTAATTAATTTAAGAAAAATCTTAGTTCTTACAAGAATAGCGATGTTGGATTTTTAAAATCACATAAATATGAATCACAATATTGGATTTTAAATTCGCGTGAATAGGAATCACGTTACTGGATTTTAAAAACGCATGAATACGTATCGCAAAATTAAATTTTAAAAACGCATAAATATACATCATGAAATTGGATTTTTAAACCATGTGAATATGAATCACAACGTGTAACTTTAAAATTAGGTCTATACGAAAATTGATATTAAATATTCAAATCTCGTGAATATGAATCGCGATATTAGCGGATTCCAGCTCAGCTCCAAATATTCAAAATGGCGAAAATCTGCCAAACCAAAAAAATCATATTAGCAGAAGAATCATGTGCATGTAAATAACTTGTCAGCAGGAATTAGCAAAAGTTTTTAAATTTGAAGTTTAGATTGAGGAATTCCGTGTAAGTTTCATTGGATTATAAGTTTTTGATTAACGAAAAAGTCAGAGAACCAATGCTCTTGAAAAACATGGAATTCCGCGATACTCCCCAAAAAATCATATACCCAGCTTTTAATTTTTAGACCCGGTAGGATAATACAAGAAACACGGAATTTCGGGGTAACACCTGTGATGTCACAATAGGCATTACATATTTCCCAGCTTTTAAAATTTCTTTACTTTCTCAATCTTATTTTTTTTTAATCATTCTTAAACGAACTTTATTTAAAATAAAACAATTGTTTAATTTTTATTACATCTTATAAAAAGCGAATATAAAATATTTTATTCTTTTCTTAATAATCTATGTAACGGATAATTTTTTATTTCTATACTAATGTAAAACTCAGTAATTCACTGTCCCGATTAAATCGAAAGTCCATTTTTAACTCTCTATTCTCTATTTCTTGCCACAAAATGTTTTTAGTTACATGGTTATACTAATCTCACAGTCTTTTTTGCGATTCGTATTCGCTAAATTTTTTAAAATTTTCATATTGATTATGAGGAATTGACTTTATTTTTGGCTATGTAATCTGCCGATAAATTGCCAACCATGGATCTCTTCCCATGCTCCTAATTATCCGCGGGGAACAATTAATTTACTTTCGAATTATTGGCGATTGTACCGGTCCCAACCGAGGAATATCTATCCTAACAGAAATTCCCGATGTTAAGATAATTATTTTCTTGATAAGTTTAAGGGTTGTTAAAGGGCTTTCTTGATAAGTTCTATTCCTTATTTTTCTAATTTTGGAATGTGGCCAAGTTTGATTCAAGTTCTACATAATAAATTAGTTTTTTCTAAATGATTTTATTCATTTTTCTGGAATGCCTACATCAGATCCAAATTAAGATGTAGCTGAAACACCCATAATACTCCACCATGGACTAAAACTGCTACTAATACCCCTGTGACAATGCAATTGACAAAATACAGTGAATGACAAAAAATTAATATTTGTACTTTATAGATTACATTTTATTTTGATAAAAATTATAACTCCAAAATACATAGAAAAAAAGGCATTAATAACAATAAAAATATATCATGTAAAAGAAAAAATATATAATTTTGTCTTACTTAGACAACACCTAAAATTTTTGTTTTAATCCTGCAATTTGTGATTCAAAAACAGTAACTTCTGAAGAAATATCACGGTTTAATTTTGTATCTGTTTAATTTAATTTTATACATTGCATCTGCATGTTGTGAATGATAAAAAAATGGAGGAAAGTGAAATATTTAAAATAAAGTGTAGTCTTTACGTAAATTAAAATACAATTTTCTACATAATTTTTAAAGATACTGAAGAGATACAATCATAATCTCACTCTATCAATGAATCATTTACTTATTATTAATAAAGATTAACTTACTATTAACATAAATAAGTAAGGTTCAAGAAAATGTGGCAACAATTGTTGCCAAATGTTCTACAAATACAGCTAAAATCAAATGCCTAGGTGAGAAATTTGTTGCCTTGAAATATAGGAAATATTAACGAAAAATAGTTTTTTCATTGAATTTCATGCTTTAAAAAAATACTGTACTAATTTTATTGTTTGGAATTTAAATTTGTGGTATTCAAATGAATAACAGAAAGAGCCGATACAAAAGTTTAAAATTTAAATTTCAAATTTTCATGCTGTGCTGTGCTTTTAAGCACTGACATTTTGATTGTTCATTAATAAAATATTTTTTGCTTGTTTAGAATTGACTTTATTAGAAATTTCATAATTTTTAAATGATTAATTTTTAATGTGATATGCATTAGTTCTTACTTTATCCATTTAACTCATTTATTTGGTCTCAGCATTTTAATCTCTATGTTGAATCTATTTACTATTATCATTTTAGCTTTTTTTCACTTACTATTAAATAAACACTAATCTTTAATCATTACGGGCTAATGAACCTGATTAGTTTAAGGGTGTTATAGATGACAATAATTAATTATTAATGTGCACCATGAATTATGAAATTGTAAAGTTTGATTTTTTTTTCTCAAGTTTGACTACACTCTTAAGTTTTTGGACCACTAAATTAATATGTAGGTGGTCCTATTGGACCACTAAATTTTCATTGCTTGTGTGACCCTTATAAATATGTAATGTAAATTCAAAAATAAACATCCTCTTTAAGATTTGATAACAATAATAAATGCTAAAATTTAATTATTAAATTTATTACTATTTTTTCCTATACACAAATACTCTGCATTACAGATACTACGATTACAAAATCATCTTGCAAAAACTAATAAATATAAAAGCATTCTGAATTCAATAGTGATTAAAATCTTATTTAATCAACTAACTAAAATAATATTTCTAAAAATCTGACTTTTCAGTGATGTGATTTTTTTTCTATTTGTATTTCTTTTATTGAATAAAAAATTAAAGCAAATTTGTTAAAAAAAAGCAAAGAAAAAAAAAGATATTTCTAACCCTTTATTATGAAGAAAAGAAAATCAAATCATAAACAGAGAGAAGAACATTAAAATTTTTTAGGAATGTACGTCTTCACAAAACCAAAGCATAATTAGTTTGAAAACTTTTAATAAAATATACAAAAGTAAGTATGAAAACAAAAGTAAACAATGATGTTAACACCAAAAGCATACAAGGAAAAAATTAAGAAAGAGCTAATTATGTAACTATCTTCTAATATCGTTAAGTACAATAAATAAAATAATGGAAAAAATAAAGGGTAAAAAACGCAATATATCTGTTCATTTATTAAAAAATAAAATTTTAAAACAAATGTATTGTTTTATAATTTCCATGTTAACAGCAATTCCCCTGCTTTATGTGGATTCTTATAGACAAGTTTAATTAAATTCATTAGTCAATCCTCTGAGAAAGAGCAGTGTTTCCCAAAGTGCGGTATATTGGTTCGAGTACCCCCAGAGGTACTGGAACAGTGTAGCAGGGGTACACGTTCTAATGCGAAATATATTGCAACAAACAAACATTTTGAAAATTTTTATTTAAAGAGAAAGCTAGTCATGAAAATTTACAAATAAGTATTTTTCTATTCNGTCAATCCTCTGAGAAAGAGCAGTGTTTCCCAAAGTGCGGTATATTGGTTCGAGTATCCCCAGAGGTACTGGAACAGTGTAGCAGGGGTACACGTTCTAATGCGAAATATATTACAACAAACAAACATTTTGAAAATTTTTATTTAAAGAGAAAGCTAGTCATGAAAATTTACAAATAAGTATTTTTCTATTCACTATTTTTGAAGAGTTAACAGTTAATAATAAGCGGTGTCAACAGCGAGTTGTGATTTTTAACTTAGGTGCAATTTTTTTATAGTAAAGGTTTGTAATAATTATTTTGATTATTTTTATAAAATATAATTCTTATCCCTAACATAGAATATGGATCGCTGACTAGTGCAGTAGAGAACCAATTAACTGGGATGCTCGAGATCATTGCTATCCCAGATGTCTGAATTTCCCGGTTCTCTGGATCGGCGAAAAGTGCCGTTAATCGATGTCTTATCAACCCAAATTACAAGAAAAAAGTCAAACACATTTTAAAATAAGAAAAAAACGAAAAGATCTGATAAATTTTTTTAAAAAAATGGTAGAAAAATAACATTTGAAAGGATAAAAACATTTGCAAGTTTAGACAAGAAAAACAAGTTTAAAAAACACAAAATTTGCATATTTATTTTTTGATAATAATTAAAATCCCCAAATTAAACATAAATAAAAACATAACAAAAATAAAACCAAATTTAACAAAATTAAAATAAAACAAAACCAATGATTAAAAAACGCATTGTATTTCATACTTAATTATACAGGGGGAGGGGGAACAATAAAAGGAAAACTTATTAATCTACATAAAAACACTTGAAAATTATCGAACGGAAACTATATTTAAAAAAGGCACTAACATATATATTAAAAACCTGGAACAAGGCAGGATATTATAAGATCAACGGAATTAAAAAACAAAAAAAAAAAACTTAATNAAACGCATTGTATTTCATACTTAATTATACAGGGGGGAGGGGGAACAATAAAAGGAAAACTTATTAATCTAAATAAAAACACTTGAAAATTATCGAACGGAAACTATATTTAAAAAAGGCACTAACATGAATATTAAAAACCTGGAACAAGGCAGGATATTATAAGATCAACGGAATTAAAAAACAAAAAAAAAAAACTTAATGATAAAATTTTTGAATGAAAAGAATTTATTGAGTACGAAATTTATCTTAAAAAGAAAAAAAAACTGAAACGCAGTGGAATCAGAAAAACAGAATCAAAATTAAAAAAAGAAAACATCAAGTTTCTCTCTCAAATAATTCAGTTCCCCGACGAATCATCGATATGTCTAATAATGTGAAACAGATGTTATTATGTATTGCAAGTCGATGTGTCCACTGATATTGTGAATTTTGCAAATCTTGTGGCGTTTGTTAGATACGAAAAAAAACAAGAAATTCATAATGACTTTTTTTTTGTCAGCCTTTATTAGGTCACACAACAGAAAATATCTCTAATGTTATCATTAAATTTGTGCAAAGAAAACAAAATTGCTTGGAATAGATGTGTAGGAATAAGCACAGATGGAGCAAAAAATATGGTCAGAATTAATAAAGAACTTATTGCGAGAATTAAAAATGTTGCACCAAATGTCATATCCGCATATTGTTGCACACACAGAGAGGCTTTGGCCACAATTAAAATGCCCGCTGATCTACAGAAAGTTCAGGATGAAAATGGGGGGAAGAGATGGGGAATATCGAAAATTGTTTTAAAAGCTTGGCAGAGCACTTTTCTTTTCATTGCTCGTATTTATGTCTTTTGAGTTTTATCATCTTTCTCAACTAATTTTTTCTATCTTTTAATCTTCAATTCTGATCTTCTGCTGCATTTTTTTTAATTATTATTTTTCTTTTGCTAAATTTTTTGCTTTGTTTATACTATTTTTGTTAATTTTTTTGTTTTGTTTATACTATTTTCGCTAATTTTTTTTGTTTTGTTTATACTATTTTTGTTAATTATTTAGTTTGATTTTAATTTTTGTCTTTTTGAAATTTTAATACATTTTAATGCCTCCCGTTAAGAGGAAAAATTATACAGCTGCATTTAAGGTGTCAGCAATTAGAAGAGAGAAAGAAACTATGAGAAATGGCTTCAAAAAAGCTGAAATCATCCGGGGACAAAATGAAATCGAAAGTGATGCTGAAGTGTGAGTGATGAGGATGAACCCGAAATAAGCAATGAACTAATAAACCTATTTTGCTCTTATACAGAGGGTTCTGATTTTGATGGATTTTAAGTTCAGTGATATGAATATATAGTGATATGGGATATCTAAATAAATTATTCTTTAGTTTGGATTTTTCATCAAGTCAAAATTTGCTTGGATTTATCGTTTATTTCAAAAACAAGATTTTGGACGGCTGATCCAAAATCTTGGAAAGGTAAGATTGTTTCATTTTTATTTTTAGCAATGTTCATGGTTTTTGATTTATTAATTATAATTAGCAAAAAAAAAAAAAAAAAAAAAANAAAAAAAAAAAAAAAAAAAAAAAAAAAAAAAAACAAGTCAACAAGAAATTACAAAAAATAACAATTAATGTAAAAAAAAGTAACAATTAATAGCTAGAAAAAAAAGAAAAACAGAATAACAGTTAGTAACTAATAAAAAACAAAAGAACTGTTAAGCCAGGGATGGGCAAACTACGGCCCGCTGGAAGGTTTTATCCGGCCCGTGGATAGAATTTTAATTTGCCGATCAGTGGCAAAATTAAAATTATTTTTGTTTTTCCTTTTTTAACAAAGTACTGATGACCTTTTTACTTTCTCTATTTTTGTTCTGCAAAACATAAATTGATGGAAATAGTTAGCACAGACAGCTTCAATTGGTAAGATGCTGAAAGCAGAAGTTCGTCATAGAATAGCCTTAGATTGGCTCTAACTAGCGTTTGTCTTTCTCGTGGAATCTAATATAGGTAAATTGTACTTCACATTTGGCAGACTGCGCATTTTAAGAACCAACGAGCGGACAATCTAACAATCATCTGAAGCAGTTGTTTCTAAATATGCCAAAGTTTTTCAAATCATTACCAAAAGCTAGTTTCCAAATTTTAATACTTCATGCCCAGAAAATCAGCGCTATGTTTGCTTAATCTTACATATGTGAACAAGAGTTTTCAACTATGAACCTTAGAAAATATCATTTCAGAAGTGGACTAACAGAAAAGCATTTAGCCTTGTTCCTTAAAATAAGCACATCTCACTTCGAACCTTAATATAAGGAACTTTTAAAAATGAAATCGCAATTTCATTCATCTCACTAAATATTTAAATTAAAACTTGTATATCGCTTTTTTTTTTTAAATTTTGAAAGTTTTATTTGGCCCACCAAACATTTTTTTTTCTCGATTTTCGGCCCTCGACCAAAAAAGTTTACCCATCCCTGTATTAAGCGATGTGAGGGAAAGAAGGCGAAATAAGAACTGCACAAGTCGCAAGAGCTAATTAATCACTTAATAAACATACTGTTGCTTTTGTAGTACATATTATTTTACATTCAAAATTATTATCGAAGACTATTTTACACAGCGTATTATAGGTAAATAAATAACTTTTAAACTAATTTATTTCTTTGTGTGCCGTAATGTGTAAACTAATTTATTTCTTTGTGTGTGTAATTTATTTCTTGTTGTGCAAATTTCAAAATCGTTAAAAGCATGCAGCGACAAAAAAAAGTTGAGAATCACTGTTATAAAGAAATTAAAGAAATCACCAGGCACATTTAAGGCAATCTTATCTGAATTTTCTGGAATATCTACCAAGCCTGCAAAAGTAAAAAATAAAAATTAACAAAAGTACAAATGACCAAAAAGGGAGTGATCAAAATCATACTTAAGTTTTACCTATATTGCTTGCCCAAGACAAAACAGTTCCAACATCATGCACGCCACCTTCAATTATGTAAGTAGTTTCTGAAGAAATAGTCCAACCAACAAGTGGATAAAAACCTATAAAGAAAAGAAACAGTTCATTTTAGTTAATCAATGCACATATAGCAAAGTATAAAACTATTTTGTTTAAAAAAATACAAAATTTTATTTTCTTTAAAATCTTAATCTATTGAAAGATTTAAAAAAGTTTTAAAACCTTTATCACTGTGTTTAGTTGATGAGTAGCTGCCATACTAGCTAGAATTATCTTTTTATTGGACAAACATAATATGAAAGATAATAAAGAAAAAATAACTATTTTTCAATTTTATATTTGATATTCATTATATTATTCATATCTTATAATCTTATTCAGAGCAAATAAGTGGTATTTTTTCAATTTTTAATCTTATTTTTTTATAGCTTCCAGCTTTGGTCCCCTTTTCCTCTTTCAAACAGTTCTAATTAATAGAATACCCAGCCACAATTTTCTCTAAAAATAGGTGAAATGGCAGTACCGTCTGTTATAAAATAGTTATTTCATCACTAATCTTTCAATTCAATGATTCACTATTTATTATTTTAGCCACTGGATGGCGCTGTTTAATTATGTAAGGTAAAATTGTTAATAAGTTTCACTTCACTACTCATCTATCCTCCACCTTGTTAAGAGCACTAGCTCATCCACTTATATTTACTAATTATGTTTATTTAATAATAAACTCTTATTTTTTAAAAGGCAATCTGAATTTTTTACTAAATTAATAATGCCTTAGTTCATTGAGTAACTCACACTAGATATTCCTGCAATATTGAAGCAAATAAATTGAAGACAATACAAGTGACCATGCATTGTGATTATCAACACTGTCTTTGAGAATGCTCTCAGGGGGACCTTGAGAAATTAACTTTTTATAAATTGTATATCAAACATAAGAATAAACAATGTTGCATTATATATTTCTTAAAATAAATATATATATTATATTATAATCATGTAAAAAGTATTCATTTTTTTTCATTAACAGTGATTGATTATCATGCAAACACCAACAATTAGAATAGTTTATCACCAGAAAAACATATTTCAACCAAAATCTACGTTAAAATGAAGTTTTTAGGTACTCATCTCTCTAAGTCATAATGTCTTTAAAAATGCTTGACCACCACCAACTCTGTTTAGTATTTATAATTAGTTAAATAAAGTAATATTTGAAAGAGTTTAGAATTACCCAGCACTATGGGACAGCAACTTTTAAACTGGTTATGTCTGATGTGCATTGAAAGATGTTTTATTAACTAACTTTAATAGTTTGAAGAAATAATTCATATCTTTTAATTTTCTTTTTATTTGTTAGACCTTTTTTGTTTTTATTTAACTATTTTTATCAGCTTCTGGGTTATGAAAATTATTTTATTATTTGAGAATTGCAACTGGTTAGCATCTCAATTTTTTTTATAAAAAAAATATGCATAGTTACATCTGCTGAAAGGCTTTGTTGGGCCAAAACATTTTGCTTCACTTTCTATATAGCCCGCCAAGCATTATAAAATACAACAGTGTTCCTTAAAACTGAATAAAATTAATTTTAATCAACAAAAATTTTCATAGAGTAAACATTGCAGCTTTATTTTACATTTGTACAGTTTTTCCATACTTTATTTATTTAATGCATTTTTGGTAAAAACATTTTATACTTAGCAGATATTAAAATAATTTAAATAAAAAGTCTAATATCTATTTGATTTTTTCTACTACAAGTCTTTGATTTAAGCTATTTGTATTGTAGTGTTGCTACAACTCTCTTTCTTTTTAGTTTTTTTATAAATGATTTTTTCTAGAAAAAGTCAAACAATTTGGTTTTACCCTACAAGATGAGTAAATAAATAAATAACTGACCTGCCCTTAATAGGGCATAATTCACAATTCAAGAAAGATTAAGTTTCACAACATAATAGGCAATGATACAAACAAACTACAACAATAGGCAATGATACAAGCAAATAAGTTATACAATGATTCACTAATATCACAATAAACAACCACTAGAACTGGGTGGGCCGCAACAACAAAATTAAAACCATTGTAAATAAACCATAGAAAAGTAAAATCTTGCAAGGGGATAAAACACCAGTATAAGGCAGCCCAGTATAAAAGATGATTTTAAAAATGAAAAAAAAAGGAGTAAAAGGTGTTGAGATAGATAAATCTAAGAGAACGATGAAACCAAGAAAATTGTAAAATCAAAAGCCAAAATCAGAAGAAGTTAAAAATCATAAGGGCCTGTAAAATCTAAAATCAAACAATAAATTAATGCTAAGAACAAGAAAATTGATTAAAATTCAAAATTAAAACAGCCTAAAAAGTACAAAACTCTAGTTAAAACAATCACAACATCAAAACAAAATCTGAGTATACAATTAAAATTCAGCAAGTTGAAAGATGATGTAACGTGATAAAAACAGTGAGACACCCAAATAAAATGAGATATTGGTAAAACCTAAGTGGGCAAGATAAGTGATAAAGTGTCTGGAGCAGGCAGGTTCTGATGCTAGGTGATTATATTTGCTAGTACCTCTTCAAGCGTGGTCTTGATGATTGTTTTGATTTTATTCCTGCTGGCCAACTCTGTGCAACACTGATGTTGACTTTTACCTTCAAATTGATCACCACAGAGTGTCTGGAAGTGGGCGTAGTCAAATACGAGGTGGTCTATTGTCTGTTCAATTTGGCAATAGTTATAATTAGGAGTTTTGTTAAATAACCTGTTTTGGTGTACCCCCAGTTGAAAATTGATTTAGATAAAAGTCAGCCTGCAGACGCCTTATTGAAGGGTCCTTGAAAAATTTAAACGTCTGCCGGCCTCTGCCACTCTTGTTTCCACTGTTTCATATTATGAGCTTTTAAAAAGGCTTTGATCTGGGCGGTTGTACTCAGGACCTCAATATTGACCTGACCGATGCTAGTGGCCTGTTTGGCTGCTTGATCCGCCTCCTCATTGCCTCTAATCCCGCAATGCGCTTTTACCCAATGGCATTTAATATTTTGTCTCTACAGTGATTTCGTGTTTTCGATGATGGCAAGTTTAGGAGTTGGGTCGCCAAGGGCCTGCAAGGAGGAGAGCGAGGCAGTGTATATTGCAGCATGTTGATAGTCCCTCTCTGCAAGCCAAAAGAGAGCATGAATAATGGCCATCCTACAAGATGAGTAAAACCGGGTACACATGTTAAATCTACGGAAAATTTAGAAATACTAGAATTTTAATGAAAATGTAACAAACTTTTAATTTTATATGGCAATCGAATAAAATTATGCATGTAATATATTCTAAGCCGTACTCAAGGGGGGAGAGAAAAGAGAGGGACAATTGTCTTAATGAATGTACTATTTATTAATGTCTTTTTTCAATAGAAAATTGCAGAAATTTTTTTTTATATCTATTTAAAAACTAGTTTCAGATAAAGAGTCTTCATAAATATTACAAAATATGAAAATAACGCTTTTTGTGCTTCAGAAAGAAACCCACAATAAATTTTGTCCTGTGTCCTTTAAAACCTTCGTTCAGCCTTGGATGTAGTTATCTTCTTCCACTACAGCACTACAGCTTTTATAAGCCCAGAATAGAAACACATCAAAAGGGGCCATACTAAGTAGTACCCGGTTTTATACCATGAGCAGAGGTATTCAAAACGAAGCAATACAAAGCTACTTATTGGGCCACATCTTTATTGTTTGTAAGGTTATGAATCTTTAGTAAATGTAAAATAAGCTGATATAAAAATTATTTTAATAACTGTAATGACGAATAAATAAAGGTAGCTTAAAATCAAGAAAACTTTACAAAGTTCAAATAGTAAAACAAAATTATCTACACAGATCACAGTTTACAAATCACAGTTACAGATTAATTAACAACCCACCAATATGGTCAATACCGTCCTTATGCAAGGGCACACACGGGCAGTGGCGGGGGGCTTTAGGCACTTAGAAGGCCCTTCAGAATCTTACTTTTTATAAATTTTATTAAAAAAAAGCTAAGAATAAACAACATTACATTATATTTTTTAAAATAAATATATTCTATTGTTGAAAGTGTGCATCCCCCCCCCCTACAAATAGTGATTGATTATCATGCAAACACCAATAATTTCAATATTTTAACAACAATAAAACTTAAAAAGCAACTGAAATCTATTTTTCTACATTCCAATGAAAATTTTAAGCATTTGGGCATTGAAAGATTTTTAATAACTGTTTAGTTAAACAAAAGAATGCATGCCTTTTGAATTTATTTCAATTTGTTATACCTTTATGTTTATTTGATTCAATTATTTTAATTAACTTCCATGCTTTTGAAAATTATTTTATTATTTAAGGATTGCAACTGGTTAGTATCTCAATTTTTTTTTTTTTTTAATTATGCTTACCTTAAAAATGTTTGAGTTTTCAGGGTAATCAAAATGAGTTTAAATTTGTTAAAATTTTTGCATCATATCTTAAAAATGATTTATTTTATGTATAAGAAGTTTTTTAGTTTGTTTTTAAACATTATCATGTATAGGGATCTAAAAAATTTATAGGGGTCTAAAAACTGTTATAGGGATCTAAAATATTTTGTGCCCGTAGCGGGCCCTGCATGCTATTAAGATGCCCCTGCATATGGTCTGTCCTTTGTCGTGATTAATAAAGTTTAATTTAGAGTTTGTCCACTAGAGAACCGAAATAATTTTGCCAAAATTGAGGAACCTTATTTTTCTCTAATCTTCCCTATATATAAAAATGGAAAGATTTTTTACTTCTCTAATTCAATTTAGATTTTAAGTAAGAAAAGATTATGGTGAGACTAAAATTATGGTGTTCATTGTCTTAGAAAGTCATACCTAGGTTATCATCTATTAAATTAAAAAAGTTAAAGAAAAGAAGCTCAAAACATTTCGTACAAAAAAAAATTAAAAATAAATTTTAGAAAACTCCATTGGGCAAATGCCCCATTTGCCACACCCCTTCGCTAGTTTCTTCTTCACCCACTTTTATTCTGAATTGTGGCTACATATTTTAACTATTTATATTTACTTTGGGGGAGAAAAAAGATGCTGGAATCTGTAGAAAATAAAATAATTATAAAAAAAAGACAAAATTATAATTTTTAATGAATTTCATTTATGATGAAAAAATTAAAAGATTAAATTTCAATTCTTATACGAAGAAAAATTTCTTTTTTAATAATTAAATTAAAATTTTTATTGATCCCCACAAAATCTTTTTCACAAGACCATAAGAACTGACTTCCATCACAGCTGAAATGAGTGCTTGCAGGGAGGATGGTCGATTTGGCTGGTTACATAATCTGTGCTCTAATTCCTTCAAAAGGTGTTCAATGGGATTTAGATCGAGGCTCTGAGAAGCCCAGCCCTGCTTTTGAACACCCATTTCATCAAACCACATCTGTGCAAGCCTCAATGTGTGAATGAAGCAATTATCCTGCTGGAAGAGAAATGGGCCAAAATATTGCTATAGAGTTGGGAGTGCAGCATTGTCCACATACATCTCAGAGTTCATGTTTCCAACCACAGGAACAAACGGATCCAGGTCAAACCACAATAAACACCCCCACACCATTATGCTTCCACCAACATAATCACCGGGTGTCCGGTTACTTTTGGTCAGATAGTGTAGGTGATATTCATATAGAACTGCATAATTTGAATAAAGGTTAGCCTCATCTTAATGAAATGAAAAATATGTTACTACACTAAAAATATGTTAAAACACTAAAAATAGAAATACCAATACCACTATAAGCACCAAATGGAGAATTCCCAGTATTCATGGTAAGAAATGAACCTGTTCCCATAGTACAAGTCATGTCATACTTTTTGAAACAGCCTGCTCCAAATAATGATGCTTGTTGATCTCCAACCTTGAATACATAATTCCTTAAAATTAAATGCATAATTCCTTAAAAATATACTCTAATTTTCCAATTATTATTTTGTACAACATATTAACCTTAAAATTTTTTTGTGTCACATGAATGATTATTAAAATACAGTCAATGAAAATGTTTAACAGAATTTTCTCCAAGAGAGATTGTGACACAAAGTGAAAAACCCCTAAAATTTTTATGTGCAAGATATTACTTTATATACCATGGATGTTTAGTGTAACATAATTTTCAGAAATATTATTTATAATTAAATTAACTTCCAATGGAGAATGTCACACCTTTATACAGTACAGAACCCGTTATCCGGAAATCAGAAAACATGAAAACCAAAAAACCGGAACAAAATTCGATAAATTTTCTCGCCATTTAAAAAAAAAATTTTTTTCCTCATAAGATTTTTTACAATTTTTCTTTCTTTTTTTTAAGGATTTTNTCCAAATAATGATGCTTGTTGATCTCCAACCTTGAATACATAATTCCTTAAAATTAAATGCATAATTCCTTAAAAATATACTCTAATTTTCCAATTATTATTTTGTACAACATATTAACCTTAAAATTTTTTTGTGTCACATGAATGATTATTAAAATACAGTCAATGAAAATGTTTAACAGAATTTTCTCCAGGAGAGATTGTGACACAAAGTGAAAACCCCCTAAAATTTTTATGTGCAAGATATTACTTTATGTACCATGGATGTTTAGTGTAACATAATTTTCAGAAATATTATTTATAATTAAATTACCTACCAATGGAGAATGTCACACTTTTATACAGTACAGAACCCGTTATCCGGAAATCAGAAAACCGGAAAACCAAAAAACCGGAACAAAATTCAATAAATTTTCTCGCCATTTTAAAAAAAAAAAAATTTTTTCCTCATAAGATTTTTTACGATTTTTCTTTCTTTTTTTTTAAAGATTTTTACCTTACCATCATTTTGGAAATAATCATTAGTGTATTACTTCATCATTTTTTCTTATTTTTAAGATTATTTCAAAATTTTTTTTATTTTATCTGGGTTTAACAATAAAAAAAACGGCTTTTTGTAGCGATTCAGAAAATCGGAAAAATCAGTTATCCGGAATAGCGATGGTCCCGACCGTTCCGGATAATCGGTTCCCTACTGTAGTAACTAATATAAGAAATATCTTAGTTCTTACAAGAATCGCAATATTGCATTTTTAAATCGCATGAATGTGATTTTCGCAAAGTTGGATTTTAATATGACGTGAATTTCACAATTTTGGAATTTAATATAGCACGAATATGAATCGTAATATTGGATTTTAAAATTGGGTGAATACAAATTGCTATGTATAACTCATTGTGTGAATTAAAATCGCAATGCACATCTTTTAATTCCCGAATAATTACAAAAATTGATATTCGATGTTGCAACAGCAGTAATGCAAATCCCAATATTGTATTTTTAAAACGCGTGAATATGAATTGCAATGCTGTATTTTTTTTTAAATTAACTTTTTAATTAGGTAAATACTGAAATCAACGTTTATTATTTAAAATCACATGAATAAGAATCGTGATAGCAGCGGATTCCGGTGCAGTTCCAACTGTTGAAAATGGCGACGAACCGTGAAACCGTCTAAATCATATGTGCATAAATGTCTCGTTAACAGAATTTAGCAAAAGTTTCAAAATTTAAATTTTGAAACTTTTGGAGGTCTTGGAAACAGTCAAGGAAACAGTCTTGAGATGAGCGGAATTTCGCGATATTCCCAAAAAAACCCTTTGCTCGGCTTTTAATTGTTTGACCTGGAAAAATTATACAAACATCCCGGAAATCCAGGGAACACATTGTATACAATTACCCTTGTTTTTTTAAAGGAAGGAAAACAGTTTACTAGTCGTGTTGTCTGAAAACAATAATAATACAAAAATAAAATAATACATTACGTTTAATACAAAGATAAAAACAAACTTTAACCGTTGAAGATAAAATAAATATTGCACCTAATGAAAACAAATTGAGACCTACATTGCAATCTTCCTTATTAAAGTAAGTTCATTACTTTTCTGTAACTAGATACTTAAGGAGAGTGCATTTATACTTGGAATTCAAATGAGGGTCTGTTAGTTTATACTAACCTGCAATCAGTAATTACAGGGTTGCCACTCAAATCAGGAAAAAAAAATTTCTGTTTTTCCTGTACATATTATACACAATAATTTAAGCAAAACACTGTGCTCTTCTTAAGGAAAAAAGGAACAGATGAGCATACTTAAAACAAATAATGTAAATGAAGTAGCTTAATATAGCTGAAATATCCTTAAATATTCCATAGATTACACTTTGAGTGGTTACCATTTTTTAAATGACCAAAATAAAATGACCTGTATTTTCCAAGCTATTTTAAGTGATTTTTTAATTCCCTGTATTTTTCAGGTTTTCAATCCAGTGATATCCCCTACTGACCGTAGAGACATGAGCCTCCAATGAAGGAATAAGTGGCACCCTGAGAAAATATAAAATAATTGCTCCCTGCTGGCAGTGAAATTCCTTTGTTAGCATTTCATTGGATTGCAAGTGCATTGTTGATCCCAGTTCTGTTGGAACTCTGTGAAAATGAATGTTTCTTCTTAGTTTCCAAACCCAGAGGGGTTCTGGGTTTGGAAACTAAGAAGATTTTATATGGTGCTATGTAACATCCATAGTTTCTGCGATTGCAACAAAGTACGAAATACCAATTAGTGTTTTTTTGACAATTATTAAGAATCAACAATCAAAACACACAATAGTCAATATTCAATGTTCTTAAAGTCTAACTTAAAGGAGTATATTTTCACCTTTTATCTTTTGTTTATTAAATTTTAATCTACAAATATAATTTTTACAAATTATAATACCTGCCAACACAGGTAGAAAAAAATCTAGTTGATTTTATGAAATAACATAAATCTCATTGTAACTGTTGCATAATGTACTAAATATTTTACATATAAGGAATTTTAGGGATTTTTATTGTCATCAGAACAGAAAAACTTTAACATTCTAATAACTATATAAATGGTCTGTAATATTTTCCATTTATGATCAACATTAAATGAACTAGAAATGTTTATTATGTTAACTCATTTTTAATAGTAATAAACAGGTAATTTTTAAGAAAAGTTAGTTAAAAATTTTTACAATTAAATTAAAAAAGTGATGAATAAAAATAAACTGAAAATTTTAGATAAAAAAAATCTTCCAACTATTTACTAACAATGAGACTTGCTTCATTATGTATTAGCAATACTTATTCAAATATTCAAACAAGCAATAAATTCTATTTCAATAAGAATTTTTAAGAAACTTTCTAAATTTTCGAAAAAGTACAAAAACCAGGAGAATTTTTATCAAACCAGTAGACCAGTAGAAACTGGCAAAATCCAGAAGTCTACTGGTAAATCCAGTAGATTTGGCAGTTATAAATTATCTACAAATATCATTTAAATTCTTTAAAATCTTTCCTTTCGTGATTTGTTTTTAAAATCATACGAAATGCAATTTGCTATTTTATTGATTAATGCAAAGATATTTTTGCTACCTTTCAACTTCATTTTAATGAACATTTAATTTTTGTTAATTAAATTTTGATTTACAAATATCATTCTTACAAATTATCTACAAATATCATTTACATTTACCACTTAATCATTTAATTTTACCACTATCATTAAATTTACCAAAAATTTACCACTTTTAATGCTTACCAGTGCATGAATTGGTATTGGAAAGCCAAAGATTTCCTCAGATGCCTCACCAAAGGAATCACTAGAAAAGATTATTGCCAATGAAAGAACTGATATTAAACTTTTTGTAAAAACAATACGGGATAACAAAAAAAGTGCATTCAATGGAAGAAAAAAAATTTCTTACTGCCCACAAAAAATTATAAAAGACTTTTGAAAAATAACTTTCTTTTTAACTATGTCCATAAGAGCCGTGATGGCTCAGTGGTTAGAGCATTTGCCTTTCAATGAGGTGAACCAGCTTCAAATTCCAGCAATGGCTGATTGATACAAATTCCACAGACGGCTTGCACCAACCACAGTTCTGATGTAAAATATCTTCAGTGGTAAATGGATCATGGGTTAGAATACCCTTGGGGCCAAGTAAACCGTGGGAGGTTTTCCTAACCATGTAACACAAATGAGGTTTAGTTTCATCAAAAAGTCCTCCATAAAGGCAAATTTCTCCCAATACTAGGTCCAGGAGTTTCCTTGTCTTCCGAATTTGGGTCAATATTACAAGATTACAGAGTTGAACATTAAGTCATAAACCCTAAAAATTGGGTCTGCTGTTCAATGATGGTTGTAAAATAAAAAATAAAAATCATGTCCTTAAGCATCAAATTATTTAACACACTAAAAAACTGCAATATTTTCCAGTTATGATTGACATAAAATGAACTTGAAATGTTATGTTTTATGTTTACTCATAATTTTGAATAGCAATAGGTATTTAATTCATCAAAGATAGTTAAAAGATATTTTAATTAATTTAAAAAGGAAGTTCTGAATAAAAAATAAAACTGAACCTTCTAGAACCAAAAAAGGTTCTAAACTGTTTTCTATAAATGAGGCTCACTTCATTATGTATTAGTAATACTTATTTAAACTATCAAGCAAGCAATAAGCTGAGGAAAAATTCCATTGCAATGGGGATTTTTTTTCTTTTATTTATTTATTTTTTTAGTAAACTCACGCAATTTTAGGGAATTTCCTAAAACGTACTAAAAACAAGAATTTTTATTAAACCAGTAGACCAGGAGAAACTGGCAAAATCCAGTAGAGTTGGCAGCATGTATAATAAATACGCTTGGAATAAAACTTTTCTTTTAACCATGTCCTTAATCATCAAATTAATTAGCACACTACATCAAAGTAATTCCTTAAATAAAAATAATTACAGTAAAAACAAAAAAAAATTTTTCAACAAATTGAGTGATATTTATTTTTGCTATAAAATTTTGCTTTATCTGTACAGTCCGCAAAAAAAAAAAAAAACGAATCACCCTGAATAACTTTTGTTCTAATGATCGGATTTTCACGAACTAATTGTCAATCTTAATGGTTCCTGAGGGTGACCTCAAATATGCCAATTAATTAGTGCTAACTATTAATTAAGTTACGAAATCAGACACAAAAACGTACTTTCTCTGAATAAACATGTATTTTTTTTTACATATTTGGAATCTAGACACTTGAATTAGGGGGGGGGTAGACAAAATTTTATAAAAATTGGGTAGCAATAAAGGTTTATATATTTGGCGATAGTCCAGAAAACCGCCAAAAAAAGTCGCCTGCGCAAATGAATATTTTAAGATAACCCATTGACTAATTCAAAAGAGGAATGCTTAATTTTACTAGGTTGGTAGGCAATCACGCTCTGACTGAAAAAAATTGAAATAATGTTTTGTGATTGCTCGGAGAGGTTTAATTAATTGTTAATAGAAAATATCTCGAAGTTTCTAGGTAATAGACAATTTTTAAGCTGATTTCTGTCCAAAAAGAAAAAAAAATTTACTTTAATCCCCTTTGAAAAGATGATTTGAATCGCTTTATAAATTATTTATGATTTTCTAAGTTTTTAGATTTTAAATAGATGAACTTTTTATCTGATATTACTTAGATTATGCTGTTTTTGCTATATTTATTTGAGGATTTCATACTAAAATCAAATTAACATAACTTATTATAGCTATATACAAAATTTTAGGGATAATCATTTTTACAGCTTTAATCGAGTCTTCCAGGCAAGAAAGTTTGAAGGAAAAAAAGTACTTGAAAAATAAAATTTAGATTGTATAGTAATTCTAATGCACATTCACAAGGTTTTCTATAATTTACAATGTTTCTTTTGTCTATAACTCAAGGAATTGTTGAATGTTTAGTGGCATTTTAAAAACATTGAAATATGTTATGTTTAAGAATAAGATATTGAAATAATATGTTGCATATTGTATGATTCATTGTTTAAAAAATCGCTTCATTCTGCTAGATATTTAGGTTACATGGGTTTCTTTGGATAAAAATGATTAGCAAATAGCATCCTCATGTCAAGATACATTTTAAAACTTACGTTCGCAAATTCACCATAAAATATCGCACAGCATATTCTTCAATTACGATATGCTACATTTACCCCCAAATAGTGCTACTATAATTATTTTTGTTTTCTTACATATATCTGATACTTTCTTTTTAAACAGAGCTTGTGAGATCCTTAAGATACTGAAATGAGGGCACAAAAACTTAAAAGATAAAATATTTAAATTCATTAACTCAAATTATCTGGTCTCAAAATTTTAATTTTTAAGTTAAATATAACTTTTAATTTTTAAAGTCATAAGCAAATTTTTAAAGGAACACTGACAGAAAAGTTTAATCTCCCAAATATCCAATAGCCTGTGCTTTTCTCAATATGGAAGAATTTATTTCAGAAAGAACATTTGGTTAATCAAATTTTGGCACTGAAGCTGATACAACTAACATTGATAATGAAGGTATCTTATTGAAAACTGATTTTGAGATAAGTCCTCTTAAAGCATTGTTAGTTGCAAAAACAATTGGTTCCATAAGTAAATGGTTCCATTGAGAGATGGATTATACTCAAACTTCAAAACTCCTTTTTCTCATTTATTATCCAGTGAAGAATTCTAGAAATGGTACTGGAAAATTAAAAAATAATTTCGAAGATACATTTACAATGGCCAAAAATTTGGGAAAAAGAGGAAGGTTAAATCAAAAGAAAAAGAAAAAAATTATTTTTTTGCATTAACTTCAGAAAAAGAACAAAAATTTAAAGAAATTGAAAGAGCTGAAAAAAAAGTTAAAGCAGAAAGTATGACAAAGAGAGAAAAAATACTTAAAAAGATAAAAACAGCCTAAAAAAATATAGAGAAAAGAGTAAACAAAAAAGTGATCTATTTATAACAATAATAAAAACATCATCGGATTACACAATGATAAACATTCATAATTTAGAACGGACTATTAAACTGTGAGATTTTTAAATTACGTATTCAAACATATTTTACTAAAAAAGTAACATTCTCCACGTTAACTGTGGTTATATGTTGTAATTCCAAGAAAAATCTTGTTTTTAGACATTTGTGTGGCCTATGGATTCCTAACGAGCATCAAACATTCTCAAATTTAGTGTTTATAGTTTTAGTGTAACCACCAAAAGCTTAAAACAATATTATGTAAGTTATCGAAATTTTTTCCACATAATTTGCATTTAATAACAAATATGTCGACACCATCATTTAGCTAAAATTACAAAGTTTGAAATTATGATTTTTTTTAAAGACAAGCTAAGTTTAAGTGCTCCTTCATTGGTTAGTTTACCCTACAAGATGTTGAGAAATTTGCAATGTTGTGAGAGATGCTTAAAAATGTTGACTACGTATTTTTATTAATATTTATGAAATATATATTCAAGAAATTGATAAATGCATTATTCAAAATCTATGCATACGTATGTATATTATTGAAATTGTATCAGTTATTGAAAAACAAAATCAAAAAATAAAAATAATCACATTAAATTAGCACAATCTGGTGTATAATCATATTCCATCAGAAGCACACTTTTATAAAACTAGACATTCGTTGAATAAAGTGTTTTTTATTCAAATGGTTTTATTCAAATTTTTTTACTAAATTGCAAATAAATCATTAAACGACTAAAAAAAATATCCTATTTCATAGTTTGAAAGAATTAAAAATAAAAAGATTAGCAAACGGTTATTAGCGAAAAAAATATGAATTAAATTTTACGCTACGCGCGCTAAGTCAAGTTCATCACATTTTAATATTAATTGCCCCATTTAATTGATTCTTTATTGTCGCCAAATTATTTTTTTAAAAATAATTAATTTTAATTTTTCTCAGCTTCTAATAAATAAAAACAGTTGAAACTTTAGATTTTTCAATTAAAAAATATGGTATAAAAAAATTCATACCTTATAATTCAAAATGTTTTCATCCTCAATTTAATTAAATAATAAAAAATAATTCATAATTATTAAAAATTATTTTTTTCATGAAATTATCTTTGGGTAAATGAGTTTTATGTGTGGGTGCAATTTTCTTTGAATTGCTTTATTAGTTTTAAAAATATGACTAAAAACGTAAAAAGTGAAATTAACATTAAGGGGTACGAACTTTGGATCGCTCTCCTGACCAAACTATGGGGACCATATTTCCCAGATTGCGGCTACCCCCTATATTTTGAAGGTTAAGAATCCAAATATGTAAAAAAAAATATATGTTTATTCAGAGAAAGTACGTTTTTGTGTCTGATTTCGTAACTTAATTAATAGTTAGCACTAATTAATTAGCATATTTGAGGTCACCCCCAGGAACCATTAATATTGACACTTAGTTCGTGAAATCCAATCATTAGAACGAAAGTTATTCAGGGTGATTCGTTTTTTTTTTTTGNTTTTTTTTTTCGGACTGTACATTATACAGTAATGTATAGATTTAAACAAATGTTAATTATTGAAAAAAATCTTTACATTTTGTACAGCAGAAACAAGACTTAAATTTCAATTTATCCGAGGAAACTTTATTGAGGGTTGCCACTCTAATCTGGAAAAAAAATTCCCTGGGTTTTCCCTGTACATATTATTCACAATATAGTAAGAAGAAAAACACAATCACTCTTGAGTGAGCCATATTTGGGCTAATATTTAAAACAAATAATGTTATAGTAACTGAAATAGTTTAGTATAGCATAAATATCATCTTTAAATATCCCATGGATTGAACTTTGAGTGATCACCAATTTTTAAATGGCAAAAAAAAAAATCACAGGTTTGTAAAGAAAAACTCAAAATGTAGTTTAAATTAATGATACTAACAATTCTAATTTTAATTGTTTATTGATCATTAAGAAGAGTTTATTTCCTCAAAATATTATGCCATGCAATACATACCATTTCAAAGTAAAATTTCGCAAAAGCATATAATTCAAGATTGACTATTGTCTTCCGCGCATAATTGAATAACACATAAATTATTTTAATAAAATTGTCTAGAAGCAATTAAAACAGAGCCGACTGTAATTAATTGCAATTTAAAATTACATCACAAAAGAGATGCTAGGCATGTGCCTTGGACACTGATTCCAATACAATAAGCAAGCTTTTTTTATTGTGCTAGGCCAAACAAAAAGCAAATAGTTGGAATTTTATCTAATAGATAATGATATTTTGATGCATACCTACCGTAGTTAAGTTATCAAATGTAAGTAGTATAGGATTTATTTTTACACCTAACTAACTGAAAAAAAATATTAAGCAACTAGAAAAACAAAAAAGTTTTCTAGCACATGTTTATAAAACGTGAAATCACCAACACAGCACATAGTACCTGCTATCATCGGTATCAAGAACATAAGAGGAATTCTTCAAAAGGTTGCACAAATATTTATACCGATTCAAAGAGCAAGCAGTCAAAGGTACAATACTCTGCACTACTGTTTGGCATAGATTATTTTATAAAGGTCCATCATTTCTCGTTCATAAGTCATAGAGCAATTGTCAAGATTTTATTCAAAGCATACTGTATATATGGCATAAATAAATACACATGTAGATAATAACAAAATAAATATTTATAATTATTCCATAATAAAATAGGATAATTATTATTCTGAGAAATTTTTTTTTATTGTCAATTGTTTAAAGCCACTGTTATTTAAAATTGATAAGTATTAGTAAAAAATATATGAGTATAACTTCCTTTTCAAAAGAAATGATTTATTTCAAACCTGTAGAAACTGTTTTAAAGATTTTTTGCCTAACAATTTTAAGCAATTGAAAATATTTTAACTAAACACACTAAGAAACTTTTTCGAAAAAAAAATATTTTATGATGATCATGATTACTTAATGATAATTGAAAACTTAAAATTTTGGTTACTGCTGCAACCTTAAAAAAGCTATTACAACCCTAGTAACAATTATACCTCGGCCCCAGTTGGGCTCAAAATTGGCTCAATATTGGGATGTCTAGATTTTTTTTATATTGGTCCTATGCAGTGTCAATATCGGCTTATGTAGGGCTGATATTGGCTGAATAATGATTACAAAATATCAGGTGAATCTAACAATTCTATATAGGGTATATTGGTAGTCAAGAGGCAGTAAAATATCGGGTGAATTGGACAATTTCATATAAGGCCCATATCAAAAAAATATCGGTCTTTGAACCATTATTGAGCCAAGGTTGTGAATATTGGTCCAATGAGGATCCAAGCTATTTTGTTGCTACGAAAGGTTCCAACTCAATTTTCAAAAAATAAAAATTCAATGACTTTCAGGGACATGTAATCAAATACCTTCTCAGTAATAGTAGCATGCTAAAATTAACGTCAAACAGATTTTATTACATTGAAGTAAATATTAAATTTATCAATTTTACATTTTTTAATAGTTATGGCAATTTTTTATTATATGTAGAACAGAGCTACCAATGGAAATGGTTTGATAGTTACAGTTTAAATGTAATACATTTTGAAAACTTCATCAATAGAGATATGCTTTTTTTTAAAAAAAATTGCAGAATAATAAATAATTTTTAATAAATTTGTCCAAGAAGTGACCTGCAAGCAAAAAGTGCAAAATTAGGATTTCTAAAAATTAATGAGAAAAAAAATACAACAACGAAGAGGAAGAATCAAATAAATCCTACTAAATAAAAAGAATCTGGAATTAACTTACCAAGTATTCAAAACAGTTGGAAGAATCATTGTAGGAATACCAAATATATTCAGAAGCCATTTTGCCCATTTCATCTAAAATAATTACTTAAGTCACCAAACATCAAAAACTATTTTATAATTCATTGAAGAAATATTTATTTCACAAATGGAAAATTTAAAATGAATATTTATTAAAGACAGGACAATTCATAGGCCTTGAATTGTCCTGTCTTGTCATGTCCATCTTGAGTACTGTCTAAAACAGTGATTCGCAACTACTGTGCCACAGCACTTTTGTGTGCTGCCAAATTTTAGAAATGATATAGTATAAATCATGTTTTTTTTTTATTACGAGAAAAGTTTAAATTAAAAAAAAGTACATATATATTATATATATATATACCGTATTTTTCGGCGGAAGAGCCTAGGCAGTATCGAAAAAAAGTTGTATTTTTCCTAGATGCGGCGCTTCCAACGAAATATTTTTTTGTAGCAAAAAAATTTGTCAAGCAAAGTTATTTAAGATTAAATAATTTTCAGAGAGAAAGACTATTTTAAAAAAAATTAATAACGAAGTCGACGAAATATTCGCCCGTATCGCGAACTGCAGCAGAACATCGCCAATTCTTAGCAAACTTTCGGCAGCAGCCTATAAGAAAATAAATAAACAAAATAATAATTTCAAAAAAACATCGCATAAGGAGAAAATTTAAAAGGTATGCATCTTGTATCCACCCCCAGCTTAAGGAAAAATCGCAAGCTAGAAATCTATTTAGCGCCTAGGCAATTGTAATTTAAGAGAACAGAAAAGGAAGAATAGGACCCTAAATCAAACTCACGGGATCTAAACTCACGGGACTGGCGAAATGCCGAACTTCGGATCTCTTTCGGAAATTCCAATATGGCCCCCAAATATTACTATAATTCAATTCCACTGTTAATTTAAGAAAAACCAATAAATTTAGTCAAGTTTCGATCGTAGATTATGCTGGGGTGAATTTAAAACCGACCCATCTTAAGAGAAATTTTACTAATCAAAATAATAATCTATATAATATAATCAGGAAGAAATAATCAGAATCCTATGAAGAAGAAATAATCATTTCTTCTTTAGAGCGAGATCATAGTTCTCGTTTTTTCTTTTAGATAACATTTTGTTTTAACAAAAGACGCTTACCTCGCAAGAAAGAAAAAAAAAAGCTAACAGGGAACTACAAAAAAAATTTTTTTTAACAATTAATGCTAAGAAACTGACAAGCCAAAAACTAATAACGATAAAAAAAAACAACAAGCAAGCAGCAATTAACAAGTAAAAATAAAAAGCAGCAAAATAAAAATAATTAATGAATCGAATAAAAAACCGCAAAAGGGATAAATTTATTTTATTGTCCATGTGGTAGTTTCAATGTCAACTGGGTGTGGCCAATTTATGGTCAAACAGAGGAGGGAAATTCGGGGGCAGTAAAGCACAGCTGTCAAGATTGATTGATCAGTTTTTTCCAACTTCCATTTCTTTATTTTGTTCATTGGAAATGCAGGTGTTTTTACTTCTCACTTTATTTTAAACTGCTTTAGAAACAGATGTTTCCTTTGATACAGATTTATTATTATTTTTTTCTTCAGGCTTCGTTTTTATTTTTAAAAGATAAAATAAAGTAAGTTACTTCAACAGAATAAAATTCAAAATAAAAAGAATATAGCTGATTTTTTTTGTCTTAACAATATAAATTTCTTAAAAGAAAAAACGAAAAAGATTAGAAGTCAAGGTCACCTTGATTGGAATGTACACTCACTGATAAGAATGTGAGAAAAATTTAGGGTGTGGTGGGAGAGTTGAATGTAAAAGATTGAGCAGAAAAGAAAGACGGTGCTTAGAATTTTCTTGAGTACCGTTTATCGGCCCCCCTCTATATCACGCCGATTTTCGTCAAAATTAAGGGGGGCGCTTTATCGGTATTTTACGGTA